GAGGCGCCGGGAGAATCAGCTGCGTGAGCTGATTCTCAACCCTCCCTTTGCTGTCCCTCCCTTTCGCCCGGCCCGAAGGAAGCAGCTTCCTTGCACGCCCGCCGAGTGCATGGCCTCCTCGGGGGCCTCGGGAGCCCGTTCGGAGGTCTCCAGAGGCCTCTCTGGGCGCGTGGGGCCTGCGGCGTTCGAGGGGTGGCCCTCTCGGGGAGGCCCTGGCAGACGAGGCGGCGAGCGTGCTGGAGCATTTCGAGTCTCCCCGTCGCGGAGGGCGCGGGCTGTACCTGCCTACAGTTGGGACCCATGCCACGAAGCACCCTGCTTGCCTCCAGGGTGCCCTGGGCTTCTTGGGCTCCGAGGGTTTTGCGCCGGAGAGCGGGACGCTTCCCCACAAAAAAAACAGTGGACGTCCTGGGGTCTCGGGGTTGGGTTTCTTGTGGAAGGTTTCTCGTGGACCGGCCTCCACTGTACAATCCTGGCCGGGCCATGTGGGCCCGGGATGGTGTGGATATGTGCCCCCTTGGCCAAGCAAGGAGGGCGTAGGCGCCGCTGCTGTGCCCCAGATGTGCAGGACGAGACCAACCATGGCCCCGTTTCGAACAACACCGTTTTCCTCCAGTGAATTTGTTGCACAATTTTGCGCATCTGGGCATAATGGTTGATGAGGTCACCAGCAAGATCTCCAGTTCTTGAATAGTCCGTCCTTCACGCGTGTTACTTTTGGGGAAGTTTGCATATATGTTGATATGTTGGTCACGCTTTGAATCTTGTCCCTCCGCTGCCGCTGTATCTTCTGGCAACTATTAAGACGAATGTGCCTCTCGCCCAGGCTGAAGCCACATGCTGCTAACGACCCGCCCTCCATCCTTGTTGCTGCTGGAACTGTTTAAGACGAGCGTACCTGGCGCTAAGGCGATAGCCACACTTTGAAAGCATCCCGCCCTCCATCGTCGTAGCTGCCAGAGGCTACATTGCCGTTTTTAATACATGCTCCGCGTGCGGATCATGTATTAAACATGCAGGGAATTAGTGTCACAAACAACGATTATTCATAAATTAAGCGTGTATTAAAATCCAATGTTTTTAAACATCCGATGTATTCAAACAATGCCCTGTAAGATTACGACATTGTGCTGCATCTCCCTGCATCCTTGCTGCTGGACTCTCGAGCTCAAGGATCACGCCTGGCGAGGACGTCGCAGCCGAAGCGCATGGAGACCGCCCCACCGATACGCCGTGCGCTGCGACGGTCAGCTCAGGTCAGGCCAGGTCGCCCTGCACCAGACTGTGCGCAAGCAAGAGCGTATGCTACAGCACAGAAATCAAAGCAGGGCTGAACCTAAACGGTGTTTTTGGTAATTTCGTGGGCCGTTTTCGTTTCGACTTCGTTTTGCAGCAAAGGCGGATTGGAGACAAAAGCGAGGGACAACGAAAACGATACGAAAGCGAAAAACACCGTTTAGGTTCAGCCCTGAATCAAAGTACCATGCGCGGACTGCTGACTCCCATGCCTGCGCTGCACCGCCCTCAGGGCGGAAGAAGTCAGCGAGACGGGCGGGCGTGCCAGCAGGAGGAGCGTTTCCCCAATCAGTGCTTGCACTGAAGGGGTCCTGGCGACTCTGGACAGAGTAGGCGAATGTACGGCGCCGATTTCGCTGGGCGACCAGGTTCCGCGGTTTTTCTGTGTTTCTGGCTCCGAGGTTCCCGGCAGTGTCAGGTTCTCGAGGGTTCCGGGGTTCATGGCTCTGGGGTTCCTGGCAGTTTCAGGGCCCGGGGTTTTGGAGATTTCTTGGTTGCGGCCAAGTGCCTCAGGACTTGAATAGAAAGTAGTGGGATTTGAGAGTTGCGAGCAGAGTTTTCCAGAGAGCGAGAGGGAGAGTGGAGGGTGGATGTTCTCCGATCGGTGCTCGCACTGAACGGGGTCCCAGCGAATCTGGGAGGCGTGGGCGAGTGTGCGGTGCCGATGTCGGCAGGCGGCCAGGTTCCCGCGGGCTCCTGTGCTCCCGGTGTTCGGTCTCAGCTTTTCTGTCAGTGTTTTCCCCCCCCCTTCCTCCTCCCCTCCCTCCTCTTGGACGTGCCAGTGATGTACGTAGCGTTCAATGTTTCCAGCCCAGGCTGCAGGCCTGGAGTCGTCAGTCACAGAGCCACAGCTGCCGCCATCAGCTGCCCAATCAATCAATCAATCAATCAGGTTTCGGTAGGCGGCCAGGTCCTCAGGGGTTCCCAGGTTCCTGCTTCTGGGTTTTCTGGCAGTGTCAGGTTTCCGGTTTTTGTTGGGGGCTTCCTGGATCCGGGGTTCTTGGCAGGGTCAGCTTCCGGGACTTCGAAGGTCTTGGTTGCGGCCAAGTGCCTCATTTATAGTAGAGTAAAGAGGTGTTAGAGAGTTGCCAGCAGAGCTGCCAGAGGGTTGCCAGCAGAGAGTAGACATTTGAGAATGCAAGGTCCCCGAGCCTTTGCAACTGTGGTCAGAATGAGAGAGTGGATGGTACAGTGGGGGCACACGTCAAGCCACATAGTGCTGCTCGTCAGGGTACCTGGGCTTCTTCGCTCCGCGCGCCGCGTGGTGACTTCCAGCGGTCGTTGAGGGAGCTGCTGCGCTCATGGTGTTTTGTGTGTTCCCCCACTTGCATGTCGGGCTCGCGGGTTTTCAAGGCTGGATTTCTTGCCAGGACTTATTGCGGCCGTGTCCATGTTGTATACAGTAGAACGATTACATACACGAGAGTGCAGAGAAGAGTGGAACAGAGATATCAGACCGTAACTATGGAACAATGCAGTGCGCAGTCAATTTGGAGGCAACGTTTAGCAGCATAGAGGGGCATAAAGAGAGAGGGACGGAGAGAGGAATAGAGAGAGAGAGAGACGTCGTAACATGTTTGGCGTCCTGCCCTGGTTTTCAGACTCCCCCCATGCCCGGCAGCATGCATTTTGGATCAGGGTGGCGCTTACCGAGCCCCAGGCCCAGCAGCTTAGCATAGCGTCTGACTGCTGCTCCCCAGCAGTTCTGGAGAGACCCGAGTCCAGTGGAGAAACATTCACATCTCGTTTGATCTCGTTGAATCAGTTCTCAGACCGTGGAGAACATGTGAGCACACAGTCAAGCTACTGAATAGGGCGTGAGAGTGCTGATAGCACTGCGCTTTCGAGCGATGTTGGATGTCTCTTGGGCCGTCTTGGGGCTCTCTTTGAGACTTCTTGGGCCCTCTTGGGGTGATCTCGATGGCTTCTTGGGAATATCTTGGAGGTCTCCTGGGGCGTCTTGCTGAAGGGGCTCTAGCGGATGTTCCCCGATCAGCGTTTTCACCGAAGGGGTGCTAGTGGAAGGTGACAGGGAGGGCAGAGAGAGAGAGAGGGAGGGAGAAAGAGGCAGACAAAAAGTTTGAGATAGACGGTGAGAGCAAAGTAGTTCCCACATCAGCGCTTGCATTGAAGACTGAAAGAGTAGGCGCTTGGCATCGCTCGGCCGTGTGCATCTTTCCTCGGCGAGGACCATCGAAGAGCATCCTGGATCATCGAGCAAAACAAAACAAACACAGAACCGAAAAACGCACAGGGAATGGACGTCCGAGCGACGGCAAGGGCGAACGTGGCGGTCTCGATCTCGTCTGACGGCTGGGGTCCGAGGCTCGCGGCGTCGGGTTCCGGGCCGCTCTCCCAGGCTCCCGATGCCGGGTCCAGAGATCTCTCGAGTTGCCACGCCGAGAGGATTGATCACTGAGGCTCGGGAAGCATCGCAGGCCTAGAGGTTGACACCAACACCAATATCGGCGGTGTGCATCCACCGAGGGAGGAAGATCCCGATCTCGGCGATGGTGGTAATTTTCTGGCTTCCAAGGTGGCCGAAATATTGCCACCAGCACCGAAATCGAGGATCGTCTTCCCCCTGTGGAGGCAACCCCGTGTGTTGGTGTTGGTGCCCATTTCTAGGCCTCCAAGAACAGGATTGACCGATTCTTGAGGGTGTACAGAGTGAGCATGGTAGTAGCACGTAACAGGGATAATGGGGTATATTGAGCAGAGTGGAAGATAACTGCATACTCGTATACCTTTTTATATGTACATGTACTTCTTCTTTCAACATGGATGGGGAGGCCAGAGTAAGAGGGTATCTATTTCTTCCATCTGTAGCACATCAGAGCGCACGCGGCTGTTGGGTTGAGAGGTATAGTTACACCTATCAACGCATGTAAACGGGAAGAGTGGCAGACAGTACATGAGAGAGAGAGGGAGAGAGAGAGACACACACACAAGCTGAATCCACATACATACATACATACACGTGTTGATCATTATATATACATTATTTGGAGGAAAGCGGTGACAACAGGGAGTAGAGCGAGGCTTGAGAGCAGATCGGGTATTCAGAGAGTATATGGATTCAAAAGGTGTACAGCACAGAGACACACAGTTCGTGAGAGAGAGACCCAGAGAGAGGGAGAGAAAGAGAGAGATAGAGAAAGAAATAAAAAACAGGATATACCCATATATATATATATAGAGAGAGAGAGAGAGAGAGAGAGAGCGAGAGAGAAAGCTAAACAAACACACAGATAAACATATATGTATATATATAGAGAGGGAGACAAACAACAAAGAGTAGGGTAGGCAGGCGTGGAATGCGTGCAACAATTGCAGGCACTCCGCCGATTGGGGTTCTCTCTCGTGTACTGTTGTGGAACGGATGAACGGATCGGGGAGGGGGGGAGGACGGAGGGAGCGTAGATGATCAGGAGCGAGGCGCGAGGAGTGAGCAGTGAGCAGACATTCGGCGCAGGAGCGAGGTACGAGGAGGAGGAGGAGGAGGAGGAGGTGGAGGAGGAGGAATGCGGAGCGGGGAGTGAGAAGCGAGAAGCATGGTCGAGGAGGAGTAGGGAGGAGGAGGAGGAGGAGGAGGAGGAGGAGGAGGAGGAGGAGCAGGATGAGGAGGAGGAGATTCGATGAGGACGAGGAGCGCCGACGACGACGGCGACGGCGACGACGGCGGCGTGCTCCCCCGCCTGCAGGACTACGCGTGCGAGATGGGCTTCGTGCGCAGCGTGGGCTCCACCGAGTGCGCGTACGGCGGGCCGGACATGATGCCCGCCCGCCTGGTGCCCTCCGTGTGCTCGGTCGCCCGGGGGCCGGCCAATGCCCTGTGCGCCCTCGGGCGGCTCCGTCGGCGGCTGGCCGGCGGCCCTCGGATACCCTCACTGGGGGAACGAGCACACGCCGGGTGTGGCCAGGACCCCAGGTAAGGGGGCCCGGTGAGTGGTGGGGCCCTGGAGCCCCCGAACTGGCCAGAATCTCTCCACCAGGTTTTCGTAGCTGGTGTTGTCGGGTGACGGCAGTTCCGGTTATAGTGGAACGGGGCGGGGGGGGCGTCCCCCAGTACACAGCACTAACCAGGTTCCATTAAACCCGGTTCTGCCAACGCCCAAAAAGGCAGTCCTCGCACCTCGATTCGACCCCCGATCTCTCGAACCTCGAAAGAAAGCCACGGCGATGACGACCACGGCACCGAGGACGCCGCGACGACGGCGACGCCGCCGACGCCGCCTTTCGCCCCACGAAAACCGCGCGGCCCTCCGAGTTGTTTTGTTTATGTCATTCTTCGTTCCCCTACTTAAGCGACCTTTGGTGGGCGAAAGGCGGCGTCGGCGGCGTCGTCGTCGTCGCAGCGTCCTCGGTTCCGTGGTCGGGAGTCGAATCGAGGTGTGAGGATCACGTTTTTTCCCATCCCTTCTGTGATGGGTGCTCGTTGTGATGGCACTGCGGTCGCGACTGCTCCTCCTCCCCCTCCTCCTCCTCCTCCTCCTCCTCCTCCTCCTCCTCCTCTCCCCTCCTCCTGCCTCCACACTCCTGCCTCCTCCTGCGCTGCTCCCTGGGAGGCTGCGAACTGCGCAACCGTCGCCACTTTCGTGGGCTCCT